AAAAGAAGACAAGAAAGATTGTTTAGGCAAGGCAAGGCAAGGAAAGGAAATAGAAGCAAAAGGAAAGAGAATAGAAAGAGAGACAAGAGAAAGGGGAGGTGGACACAGAATTATTTCTTCAAGAGCCAGCAATCACTTCATTCCAAAATCGATATCTTTGTTTCAATTACCTTATGCAGCAGTGCCACCTGGTCCTTCCTTCCTTCCTTCCTTCCTTCCTTCCCTTAGGAGAGATTTAAAAAAGAAGGGAGAAGAGATATGAATTGGCTAGTCAATGCAAAGCAAAGCAAGGAAAGGATAGGAGAGAGGCGAAGAGGAGAGGAGAGTAAAGAAGACTTAAAAGAGAAAAAGAAGATTGAGTGAACAGAATGTGGGAAGAAAAGGGAAGGCAAGGAAAGGAGAGGACAACAGACGGGCAAGCAAAGAAAAGGAAAAGAAAGATTTCAAAGGTGAACAAAGGAAAGGGCAGGGAAGTCCTTGGGGACATCCATCAAAATTGGAACAATACAGAGAAGATTAGTATGGCCCCTGTAGGCAAGAATGACACACATAAATCGAGAAATGTTCCAAATTTGTAAAAAAAGAAAAGCGGGGGAGAGAGGGGAGGGGGAGAAAGAAAAGGAAAGGAAAGAGAAAGAGAAAGAGAAATGGAAATGGAAATGGAAATGGAAAGGAAAAGGAAAAGGAAAAGGAAGGAAAGAAAGGGAAGGAAAGGAAAGAACAGAATACTTTCGAGGAAGGCTAGCAGTCACTTCACATTAAAATTCACACCTTTCACTACTCCTCTCTAGTCCACCCAAGCTTCCAATCGCACGGATGATGACAGCGATCTGTCCATTTTTTTTTCTTTTTCTTTTTGGACCAATTCTCTCAATTTATGCGTGTCATCCTCCTTGATAAGGCACGGGCCATGCTGATCAATCTTCTCCTTATCGTTCCACTTTTAACAGATGTCCGTTCCAATTTTGACAGATACGTCCTTTGCCAAGGAGGACTGTTGGTGATATCTGCACTTTTTCCACCTTTTGGCTATTTTTAGCTCTCAGATGGTTATGACACCGGAGTGAGACTGTTTGAATCTGAGTTGGCATTCATAAATTTTTCAAGGAACCGGTGCCGATCTCTCCACAATTTAGCTTTGCAAGGATCGCGTGGTTATTGCTTTCGGGTGCGCGCGAGATCGCATTGTCATTTATGGGTGTATGTTTCTATGCTATCCTCATGCCGTCACTGTTTCTGCCGGACAGTCTGTCATCCATCCATCCATCCATCCATCCATCTCGCTTCCTTATCTTTTTTTTTTCCTTCTTTTTCTTTTTCTTGCTTCCTTATCCTTAAGAGCTGGCCAGGGTAATCAATGCTGGCAGGATTGTTTCTATGCTGTTCTCTGATGACACTCTGTATATGGGACGCTGGACCCGTTTTTCAGCAGGTGATGCTCCCCACCAATAGACGGAGCCTCTCCCCGGGTGGTAGTGGTGTCTGCTCTTATCAGAGCCACTAGCACCGGTGGGGGTGTTGTTTTAAAAAAAATAAAAATAAAAAATAAAAAAAATCCTTAAGAGCTGGCACTTGGACCATATTCCCCTCTCCCTTTCTAATGGGGGACCACGTGGATATCCCACCCCATCCCAGCACCAAATCAAGGAGCTGGCATGACTTGACAAGGGTCAAGACCCAATATACCTTCTATATATGACGTCTGAGAAGGGTGGGAAGATGCAGCGCGCATAAAAATTCAGGCTATTCAGCCCCCTTCGTTAGAAGACGTGATTGTTAGGAACAGAGAGAAATCAAACACCTCCCTCCCTGTATCACACAGAAATCGGCGCCACAGCATTTCCTCTGCTCCACGTGGACTTCCGTCACCACAATGGCTTCCACAAAAAAGCCAGGAGGAAGCAGCAGCACTGTGACAGCTGAAGCCGGGTAATTGCCCTGGTATAGTCTCTGTGCACAGCTGCTTTTTTTTCTTTTCTTTTCGAAGTTGAGAAAAAAGGAAAAAAAGGACTGTGACCTGCACAAAGCCAGGAGGAAGCAGCAGCAGGAGGAGGAGCTTCCCCTTTGCGCTTGGACCTTATCGGTCCACCGGGGAAAAAAATTGAGGCACATGTCACTGGGGAGATTCAATAGGAAAAAACACCTTCATTAGTTGATTACCTGTCAGCAATCATCCGATTTTCCGGACATGATTCCACAAAACAATTGCCGAGTAAGCCTCTGGGCCTCATTAGACACTCCTCCGGTCGTCCTGGGGGCCCGAGGGGTTTTCCTCCAGGTCGTCCAAGAGAATTTCCGCCCTCGTTCCACTCATCCTCGGGAAGGTCGCCCGAGGAGGATTCCTACGGCGGGCCTGCGGCCAGTCGCATAATATTATTGCCGACCACACGTCACCTCAGGGTGGGTTAGGGTCTGTCTCTTATACACATCTAGATGTGTATAAGAGACAGGGGTTTTCCTCCAGGTCGTCCAAGAGAATTTCCGCCCTCGTTCCACTCATCCTCGGGAAGGTCGTCCGAGGAGGATTCCTACGGCGGGCCCGCGGCCAGTCGCATAATATTATTACCGGCGGCGGGGGGGGGGCGGGGTCGCTGGTCCATGAGGTCATGCCCATGTGGACGGACCTGGTCCAGCTCTGAGAGGCGGGAAAACTCGAATTGTGGCTCCGACCGGCGAAAATGAAAATAAAATGTATGGAGATCCCCGTTCGAATTTCAAAATTCGAATCACGCCGTTTGGCTGAAGGGGGAGCGGCGTACGCAGTGGCGGCGGCTGGTGGAGGACGTCGGAAAGGAAGATCCTTGCGCTGCGTGGTGATGACGCCGGCGTGAGTGCACCGAGCGGGCAGGCCAGGAAGACGTCCCACGCCAACATGCCATCGCAATTGTCCTCTCCGCCCTTTTCAGCGGGGTGTGGCGGAGCGCATCCTCTACGCTGACAACAGACCATTGGTTGCGTTATCACCATCCGTGGATAGGGCTGTTGTTTGGCCGTCTGTTGGGGCGGGGTGACTCCCCAACGCTGAAACAAATGTTTTGTGCTCCCTGCGTGGCAATGGAAGACGGTGGCAATGCGAACGTCGAAAGCTGACGACGGCAGAGAGGACAGTAGTGGCAGCGGCCGTTACCGCTGTCCTTTTCCGTTGTCGGCTGGAGAGGACGGTGGGGAGAATGAGAGCGCAGATACGCATGCAGAGCATGCCGGTGGAAGGGTTGGACACCGCCGCCATCTGCGGGGTCGTCGTTCACGTGTGCTGCGCCATGGGTTCTGGAGGTCTTCCGAGAGCGACGCCCAGGTGGTGGATGAAAAGGAGGACTTTAATCACCTGAGGAGTGTCTGACAGGCCCCTCTGTCTTGCATCATCCAGCCAACCAAGCTTCCTCTTACTACCTCAGGGATTGATTATACACAGTGTCAGATGGGCTAAGATCAAGTGTAGTATCTCTTACGATTGAACTGTTTCATTTCCGATCTGTGGTTCATCGGACCACATGTGCAAGAAAAAAGAAAAAAAAGAAAGAAAAAAAGGGGCTCGAAAGGCAGGGTGGCAAAGGGGATACCTCCGATGAGGTGCACATGCTAGAGTGAGAATAACAGCGGGCTCTCGAATAGGGTTGAGGTTGGGGAGAGGAAGGAGGGGGGGGGGGAGGGGGGTAGAACGTGGAGGTGGCGCTGTGGTTGCGCTGTGGAGGGCAGAGAGGATGAACAGAGGAGGGAAGGCACAGTCAGGTTGTCTTTTCGCATCCAAGTCCCCTGCCAGCCTGCTGTGCTCGAGCGTTCGCGCAGAACCTTGATGCCCTTTCCTGAACCAGTCAAACAGTCACACCCTTTCATTCTGAGCCTATTCACCCGGCCGATCTACTAGGAGGGGATGCTCATATCACTCCCCCCAAGCAGATTGGTGGGTTACCAAAAAAAAAAAAAAAAACAAAAAAAAAACAGCCTATTTACCACCTTTCCAAACAAACAGATCAATCACTGCTGTTTCTACTCCGCACACTCCTTTCATCTCTACAATAGGAGTGAAGAAATGCACAACACTCGCAGACCTACAGGCAAACAAAAAATTTGACTGTATTCCCCCCCACCAAAAAGAAAACTTGAAAAAAGACTCTAAGGCAGTGACATCTCAGTGGGTAGAGAACTTTGGTCGGATGCACATTGTGGTCTGAGGTTGTGGTTTCAAATCTTCAAACGCTCAACTCTGCACGCTCGGCCAGTGGGCATCGACCAAAGCAGGCCAGAGACACGTCAGGGTACACGTGGTCTTATGCTCAGTGGTGGAGCACTGGAGCTCAATGCATCAGGTACCGCAGTCGCATGTGTGGGATCCTCGGCAAGCTCTCCGGCTGGAGGGCATGGACTCTTATGGCCACTTGTGCACCCCCCTTGGGCTGTGCGGGTTCATGGGGGGATTAGGTTGGGAAAGGGGTGAGCTCAGTTGGGGAGAAATGAGGGAGAGGAGAGGGGGGACAGAGCATGCTATCCTCCTAGCAGGCACGATGGCAGAGTCCGTTGGGAACAGGCAACAGGGTGCAATGAACCTGTCTCCCGAAAGGTTGCCCTGGGACCTTCGGAACCTGAGTTCGAGTGCTAGTGTGCCCAGTGCCTGCGATCAAGAAGCACCGATCTTGGTCGACGCCCCCCGTCACGGTGTGTGTGGTCAAGGTTGAGAGCTCTGGCTTGAGTGAGTGTCCCTGGTTGTGGGTGGGTCAGTGCGTCCAGCTTCTGGCAAGGTGGGTTGGATTCAGTGCGTCCAGCTTCCTGCCAGACATTCTCCCTCAGCACTGTCCTCAACACCCCTCACAGCCTTAAAAAGAAAAAGGAAAAGGGAAAAAAAGTTAAAAAAACAGAGAATATAGCCTCTGCACGGATTTTTGTCCTCGGCAGGCTCTTAAAGCACCAGTACACCGGAGAAACAGCCACCGGTTGGAGGTGGCTGCGCTAGCGCCCCGACGCCGGCGGACCGGTAGGGCCCGGTCAGCCCGGCTCGACTAGCGACTGGGGAGAACAGCTCCCCGGCTGCTGGACCTGCACACGTGCCCGACAGGTGCGAAGTGGCTTGTGGCCACGTGCCGCCTGCTGTTTGGTGGCAGTGACATCCCGTGACACGTCAGCAGGGGTAGCGCCAGCCGTGGGATTCAGTAAAATTGTGTGAGTGGCGCCGCTAATGGGGGGAGAGATGGACTTGGAAGGGGAGCTAAGACATCTAGCAGAAGAATGGATTACCGCACTGGAGGAGGGATGCAAGCAGATGCAGACGACAGTGGGGTTGCTCATGCAGAGGCAGCAGGATGGGGGGGAGATCGATGGGGGTGCCATCTTGATGGAACAGTGGTTGGAAGATAGGATCCAGGAGCTGTTAGACATCTTGTGGGAGCTGGAGGATGGGCCGGATCCCCGGCTTGAAGTCTACATCGACTGGAGGCGGGCGGATGATAGGTTGGCTGCTTGTAGAGCCCTCTTCACATTGGGGCGAGATCTACGCAATCCGTTGGAGTATCGGTATGGATTGCTGGCAACTGAAGATGATTGCGGCGAAAACACAAATAACAGAAACAACATCAGCTACAGCGACATCAAGGATGGGGTTGGTGTCAATAACAACAATTATGGAGGGGGCGACGTCCAAGGCGGCGCCATGATGTGAGTGATGCTGTAGGTGGACGTGGAAGATACGGGAGACATCAACAACGTCAACAATAGCAAGAACGCTGGTGCGCAGGGTGTGGGATTGGGAGAAATGGGCGAAGGGGGTGTGAAGGATGGCAGCAATATTAACAACGACGGCGAGAACAACAATGCCGACAACGACAACAACAACAACGGTGACCGGTGAAGTGCACGGCAGCAGCATGAAGGGTGTACTGCCGCAGGTGGACATGGATGATAAAGGTGGTGACAACAACAACAACAACAACAACAACAACAACATCAACAACAACGACAATAACAATAACAACAACAATGATGATGACAGGGGAGGCGATGTTCGCAGCTGCCGCATGAGGGGAATGATACAGCAGATCGATGCAGATGAGAACGGAGACGACAACAAAAACGACGACGACATTGTCAACAACAACAACAACATCAACTACAACAACAACAGCAACAAAAACGTTGACGCCGGAGGGGGAGACATCCATGGCAGCAGAATGATGGGTAAG